CTATTATATTGGTTGATAATTTTATTTTAAAAAAACAATTGAGAGTAGATAATTAAACAGTGACTATGTGATTTTATTTTTCATTCTCCACTGCTGTTTTATACTTGTTAGCGATATGGTGTCCAAGACAACAGTAGAACTTTTCGAAGAAAAATTAGCGGATATTCAAACTCTCTCTTCCTTCAATATCTGGGATCCGGAGAGAAAAGTTTCAGTAGCAGCACAGACCGATAATTCTTCCGAGCCCCTTATTCAACCTGTGCCTTGATTTTAAGAATGTACGCAATGCCCTTGTCGACCTTGCACTTAGGTACACAGGAACTCAATTCGCCGTAATTGGAAACAATCGACCCCCTCCCCTTCCATTTGAAAATAATAATAAAAAATGCAATGGATTAAATAAGAAAAGATATTTATACTAATATAAATAAAGTATCTTGTATCTAACGCCATGCATGAATTACAAAAGATTCTTTTTATATCCAAATTTGTAAACAGGGCATAAGAACACAGACCCTTGGAAATAACGAACATTTGGACACCATTGTTCGCTAGAAAAGTAAACAATATTCCGATCGTGGTAAATGTCCACACAATAAGTGGAACCTTTTTATTTCAATATTCACACTTAATATTTTATAATAATTTCCTTTATTGGCGATTAAAATATTGATATGATTGCTTTGTAGTTTTCACCTTTTTTCTTTTCTTCTTTTTTTTTTTTTAATTTTACGATTTTTAAAAAAGATATGTTTTTTTTTCTTCAAAAGATATCGACGAAAATGCTAGCTATACAAATTTTATATTTCAGTACATAATTTATTTTAAATATTTTTATTCAAAATTATGCACAAAACGCGTAATGTTGACCCTGATTACCAAAAGCCAGACTTCCTGTGTAATGCAGCGTGTATAGGGATTTTCAACATCTTGAGTATTGGGGGTCTCCAGGTAAATAACACCAGTACTACCAAGACCACTCCCCCTCCTCAGGTAGCCGTACGGTAAAAAAATTATAATTCAATATTTTGGGGGGTCTAGAAATTATTCAAGAATATCGCATGACTACCCTACTGTAAATTTTTCTTTTTCATTCACAAAGTTTGAGACTTTAAACGTGAAATGTTAACCATATTAACGGAGTCAAAATCTACAGACACATAAGTACATTTATATACATGTATCAAGTGCAAGTTTTGCAAGTCAAAAAGAACATTCAACATATTAACCATAAACACAATTATTTACAATTTGACAATTATTTAACTGACATTTTAATTTTTATGTACACATTTACGTCTTCCCTTCAATGTTATGGTGCCATTTTGGAATGAGACGTTTGAGTTTCGATGCCAATTTTTATTTTCATTTGTAAATCGTGTACTTATATTGTCATTGATTTTGTGTTATACTCTGTGATATGGAGTTGGAATGTAGTTATTATGTATTTTATTTTTAATTTACTTGTAACAAAACCTAAAGCTTATATTTATTCAAGTGGGCTGTGTCAATTGCGGGGTTTCAGTTCGCGAATGGTGTTAATTGCATTGAAGTGACTCAGGTAATATTGTGTAGCTGGATTAGAGAAAATAATTATCGTGAATTATTAGCAGATGGAACCAATGTGGTCGTTCAGAATGCAGAATAGACAGTATTTGGATGACACAGTTTTTTATAATACATTTGTTAAAGAAGTGCATGTGACTAAAATTTATAGCTGAAATGGACAAAATTCCAAAGTACTCAGAGTCCGGATTAGACAAATTCTACTCTGTATCCTTTATATTTCTTTGCATAACTTTGATCCCCTGCTGTGGCCCCACCCTACCTCCTGGGGACATGATTTGTACAAACTTCCTTCTACACTACCTGAGGATGCTTCCATACAAATATGACCAATCATGGCTTAGCTGTCCTTGATAAGGGTGAATTCAAAAAAATTACCACCAAACTGAATTTTTTTGGCAAAATTCAACTACTTATAACATATTTTTCACTTATATCATCATATTGCAAATACATTCTAGTTTAAAATCCCGAAGTGGCAATAGAATAGACAATTGGATTAAAAAGTTTCAGAATTTTTATAAGTAAAATTTCTTCTGAAAAAAGAAAATATCATTACACCTTAAAAGACTTTCTAAAATACATAATCACAAGAAATTATAGTTTTTTATGTTTCAATATGGTAAAAGGGGTATAAATGATTAAATCTAGACCTTGAATGAATATCTTCTCTTGTACATGTGACAAAAAATTGGCTTTTTGATTGTTATTTTACATTATTTTTTCAATCCTGGTTTGAAGAGTTTTAATATGAAAAAAATATGAAGCAATAAAATTCCCCAAAATTCACTTTTTTGTCTGTTCAAGTCAATTCTTTATATCTAAGCCAAAAAAGAATTGTTATATACGAGTTCTCTTACAAAAAATACTAAATTTTGAAGTGACCCTATGTTACATTATTGTGTTGCACTCCTGACATCTGATATGTATTTTATTTAACATTGTTTTAAAAATTATAACACACAATAACCCATTCTTACTTTGTAAATCAATTTGTCGTGTTGATATTTTTCATCGTTTACAGCAGGTTTTTCATATTTTGAAGACCTTAAAACATGATTATTTGCAAAGTTTAATATATATAAATTGTATTTAAAATATATGTGAAATGATGAAAACTATAACCTGAATTGACCGTAAAATTTCTGTAATTTGTTGATAGACATAGTGTTTTGAACATCAAATAGTATCAAGCATTTTTTTCAACTTATTTTTTAGTAAAGATAGTTAAAAAGCATTGGTAATTATGAAGCAGTTTTGTTACACTCCTGACTGCAGTAAAGTTTGAAATTAAAACCATAGAACACAAAAATTCATAAAGTGTTGGCAACATCAAGTGGTAATGAAATTGTGCAATACTTATAGTCCAGTACTTCATAATTAAAACAGATGAAAGTATTTAAAATTCACATTTTATCTGGAATTATACCCTATTTTATGCCAAAAAACTAGCTTAAATGTATATTTAGAAGATAAAATATATTTTAAAGCATATTTTCCTTTAGAAGACAAACACAGTAACCCACCAGAAAAATTCTACTCGTCATTTTTTCTTTATTTTTATTCTTATTGGATGATTTATAATTCTAACATATTTGTTGCACTCCTGACCAAAAGCAATGGGACCTTTGAAGTAGAATTGTGAAGTGAAAATTACATAAGAACTTGTTCTGTTGTTTCAGTGAAGTTGAGGAGGAATTACTTGAATTTTATGACAATGTTTTAGTGTGTTTATTTTTAACGTTCATTAAAAAAATCACCAAAAAGACAAAAACACATCTGAATTGATAAAATTGAAAAAGGAAGGATTTTAATAATAAAACTGTCAATAATTTAGTATTAAATTATACAAAAAGATCATTATTAATGAATGAATACTTCTAAACATGAATTAAAGTCTTTTCGTCACACAACTTGAATCTTTTAAAAAATGTGTTTCACTCCTGACCATAGAAATATGGATCTGAAGCACACACAGATCCTGTAATTGATAAATCTATTCGGTAAAAATGTTTTTTGTGTCTTTATTTTCCAAAATAAAAATCAGAAAATCATATAATGATAATAGTTTTTTCATGCTTGGGAGCAAAACATCAAATGTTACACTCCTGACATTTTTGGGTATGCACATAATTATACTTGACTCTCATTAATGCTGCTTGTGATTTACATAACATTTTTAAGTTTTAAAATGTATATCAGTTATTGTTTTACACTTCCAAAATTCTTTTTTGTCTTAATTTTCTTTCAGAATTTTACAATTGATGTTTTTTTGGCAACACTACATTTTTTCTGTTGCACTCCTGACATGGTATAACATTTTTTTAGACATCAGCCATGACCACAACTTGATTAAACATAAGTTATGACAGTCCACATTTAAAGCTCAATACTTTGAATATTATCAGGAAAGTCTTTATTTTCAAGATGATACATTATTTTTTATTTCACAGATCTCCAAAAAATATTGAAATTTCAAATTGTCACAAAAAGGTGTTGCACTCCTGACAATTTTAGCATCATTTTTGGGCATAACTTATTTGTTAATTGAGATATCAACGAGATATTTGGCAGGTATTTAGACACTATCTAAAGTCATATGCTGAGACATAGAAATCTATTTTCATTGCCTGTATTTTTAGTTTGGGTTGATAAATATGTGTTTGGTCATTTTTTGTTAATTCACCCATAAGATTTTTTAAGATTTTTCAAATGTATTCCTATGTAAACTTTGATCTCCCATTGTCACCCCACCCTGCCCCAGTGGTAATAATTTGAACAAATTTCATACTACACTACCTTAGGATGTTTCCATATAAATATAACCAATCATGGCTTTGCTATTCTTGTGAAGAATTGTTTTTAGAGATTTTTCTTATGATGCTTCCAAGTAAGTTTCATATTTCTAGCCCAGTGGTTCTTGAGAACATTTTTGAAAGTTGTCATTAATTTTTCACTAGTTCATTATTATCTCCCTTTGGAAGAAGACATGGCCCTTCATTTGAACAAACTTAAATCTCCTTTACCCTAGGATACTTTTTGGCAAGTTTGGCTGAAATTGGCTCAATAGTTCTTGAGAAGAAGTTGAAAATGTGAAATGTTTACAGACAGACATATGGACCACTAGACAGACTGGAAGACATACAGACAGTCAAAATGGAGGGGAGAGTCACTTTCCAAATTCTTTTTTCTTCACTTGATGACTCTCTGTACCATTTAACAAGGGGTTCTTTTTTTTTGGGGGGGGGGGGGATCTAAGGTAATTTTTTTTTCACGTCTGAAAATTCAAAAGGGGGCAAGGGGGCAGAGCCCACCTAAGTCCTATATCTAAATGAAACTCTGGATATTGTCATTGTGTATATCTCCCCAAACATTCTTTAAAATTACCTCTGTCATTCACATTTTTTAGATTTATTTCTCCCTGTCTTATTTACCTTTCCACGGGATCACGCAGCATTATTATGATTTTCAGCCCTGGAAGCAGTTTACGTATAAAAAATGGAAGGACATATTTTGGTTCTTTAAGTCTTTCATTTCCAGGAAAGTTCTTCCAGTCCCAACTATCAAATGCAACATCTGCAGAAGCATCACCTTCAAAGAGAAAAACCAGAAATCTCTGAAAAATTGTACTCTTCTGGTTTCAGCTTAAAAATACACTGTAAGAAAATCTAGTGCATTTTAACATTTTGATTTTCCTTGAAATTTGTACCAATGCTTATTTTCTACTTTTAAAAAAGTCATATTTTTGTCCTCCTCGGAGCAAAATATGAGGTCACACTAATAAGCCCACACACAAATATGCACATCATTTCATACCTCATGATGCAAACTTAAATAAAAGATGAGATAATCTCAATGAGATATAAATATTGTTTAAAATCTTACCAGTGATTAAAGGAGAAAACTGCTTCCCAGCTGTAAGATGGGTTTTTATTTCATCAAAATTCATAGTGTAGTCATTCAGATGCATACCTCCTGAAATTAATTGTGATAATGTATCCATTATATTAAAAAAAATTCCTTATAAAAATGTTTTAAATGATTTATAATTATACTATATATGACATTTAAAGTTATACATGAATTAAATTCTAGTAATGACTCTAGAACCTAATTTTCAAACTGCTTACGAAAGATAAAGGTTTTAAAGTTCTAGCAACCTAATGATTTTTCTTAACATAAGCACTTTTATTACAAGAGCTAATTTTGATACAAACCAAACATATTTGAAAAATTAAACTTTAATTCCTTCTGAAATAATGATAGATAATAATATGTACATTTTGAGTAATTGCTTTAGATTTCAACCTGATGAGAAAATTACAGTAGTAACTAAAAAAAATTCTAAAAAGTTTCTCATCTAGCTCACCTAGGTAAGTATATTTACTAAAACACAGTATACAATCACTCTGAAGAGCTTGTTGTTCCAGTGACAGGTGAAATTTTTATCTGTACATTTTAATTCAATTTCCCGAGATTTTGTCTGACTAGTACATGTAGTAACATATAATTTCTACTAAATATTATTAAAGTCTTCCGTCTTCAGCGGAAGACCCTTCTATTATTCTATTGTTGATTTTTGATTTTTCTTATTATAAGGGTCTTCAGCGGAAGACCCTTCTTTCTTTTTTTCTTTCTTACTGATTTTGTGCAGAGGATTTCTCACAGATGGCTAGATGATTTACTTCAAATTTTCAGGGATTATGCATTGCTGTCTGAAGTTTGTACCTCTCTTTCAATTTTAGAAAATTTACTAACGGTAAGAAGTTATCTCCCATTTATTGAATTTCAGATGACCATTTTGTCTGCACAAAAAGGCAAATGCTAGAGTGCTGAAAATTTTAGTGATAATCATGCATGTGAAATGCATCGTCTGTACACAAAATGTCACATATTTTTTACCCATTCATGGGCTCACGACGGTACACCAAAATTCACGGGAAATGAAATTTTGTCCCATATTTTGAATGCTTTATCAGAAACCACCTTTTTTCCTTAATTCTTGCTCTCACAACACCGGAAATTTTGATGTGTTACTTACTGTGCTTGGTTAATGTAAACAAAACATCATGATCGAAGGTGTGAAACATCCCCACAATATACACATTGTAATTAAAACATATCAAAGCTTTTTGTTAGGCAGAAAAAATTTTCTTAAGACCCTTATTAAGGGGGTTTTCAACTGTAATTAGTTAAATTTTGCCAGTAGAAATTAAAGACGTTTCATGGAGAAAATGACAACGCGTGACTGCAACATGAAATTTAATCTATGACTTTTTTTGCTCTGCTTTGGTATAAGTATTGTCCATTCTAACACTAATGCCCTGTTCACATGGAAAGTTTAATTCGAATTAAACGTAAGGAATATTAAATCTGATCCACATTCACAAGGAAAATTTAATATGAATTAGTTTCATTCGAATTAGTTTATTGCGCATTAAATTACTTCACATTAGCTCTGTGTGAACGCTAAGTGAAGCTAATTCGAACTAAATTTTGATGCATGCATAAGGGCAGAATTAAGTCACAGACCACATGTCGATGGTCAAATATAGGTACTTGACAATGTGCTATTTTTGAGTGGAAAACAAAGGAAAACTATGTTAATCACTAAAATGTGTACAGATACTATGACAATATACCAAATGTATATGGGTGAATTAAAAAAAATGACCAAATGCATATTTATCAACCCACACTAAAAATACAGGCAATGAAAATAGATTTCTATGTCTCAGCATATGTCTTTAGATAGTGTCTAAATACCTGCCAAATATCTCGCTGATATCTCAATTAACAAAAAAGTTATGCCCAAAAATGATGCTAAAATTGTCAGGAGTGCAACACCTTTTTGTGACATTTTGAAATTTCAATATTTTTTGGAGATCTGTGAAATAAAAAATAATGTATCATCTTGAAAATAAAGACTTTCCTGATAATATTCAAAGTATTGAGCTTTAAATGTGGACTGTCATAACTTATGTTTAATCAAGTTGTGGTCATGGCTGATGTTTAAAAAAATGTTATACCATGTCAGGAGTGCAACAGAAAAAATGTAGTGTTGCCAAAAAAACATCAATTGTAAAATTCTGTTAGAAAATTAAGACAAAAAAGAATTTTGGAAGTGTAAAATAATAACTGATATACATTTTAAAACTTAAAAATGTTATATAAATCACAAGCAGCATTAATGAGAGTCAAGTATATGTGCATACCCCAAAATGTCAGGAGTGCAACATTTGATGTTTTGCTCCCAAGCATGAAAAAACTATTATCATTATATGATTTTCTGATTTTTATTTTGGAAAATAAAGACACAAAGAACATATTTACCAAATAGATTTATCAATTACAGGATCTGTCTGTGCTTCAGATCCATATTTCTATGGTCAGGAGTGCAACACATTTTTTAAAAGATTCAAGTTGTGTCACGAAAAGACTTCTATTCATGCTTAGAAGTATTCATTAATTAATAATGATCTTTTTGTATCATTTAATGCTAAATTGTTGACAGTTTTATTATTAAAATCCTTCCTTTTTCAATTTTATCAATTCAGATGTGTTTTTATCTTTTTGTGATTTTTTTTAATGAACGTTAAAAATAAACACACTAAAACATTGTCATAAAATTCAAGTAATTCCTCCTCAACTTCACTGAAACAACAGAACAAGTTCTTATGTAATTTTCACTTCACAATTCTACTTTAAAGGCCCCAATGCTTTTGGTCAGAAGTGCAACAAATATGTTAGAATTATAAATCATCCACTAAGAATAAAAAACATAGGTAATCAAAGATTACGAAGCTCACCTCGACGAATGTTATCTACATGTAAGGCAAATTTCACATCATATTTTTTTTCTAGTTAGGGTACATCCCAAGATCAATATCCATGCAAGTTTGATTTAATTATAGACCTGCTCAAAAAACTTTTGACCTGTTTAGTAATCAAGAAAATTTTGGTCAGTTCCAACATCCAAAGCAAGTCTGGAAGTTTTCATCCTTAGATGCACCATCTATGCAAGTTTAATCATAACAGGCCATAATATTATATAGCTACTCCAAAAAAATTACCCTGGTCACTCTTCTGGAAAATGTACATCAGATTCAGAATCCAAGGCAAGTCTGGAAGTGTCCATCCCTAGATACATCATCCATGCTAATTTGGTTAAAATATGGCTAAAATTCACTCATGTGGAAAATCTAGGTCAGATCCAGCATTCGAAGCAGGTTGGTTAGTGTACATCCCTAGATGCATCATCCATGAAAGTTTGGTCCAGGTAGGGCTTATAGTTACTTGGGAATGAGACTACTCCTAAATCTAAACCTGGTCTCACATGTGGAAAATCTAGATCAGATCCAGCATCTGAACAAGTGTGGTAGTGTCCATCCCTGGATGCATCATCCATGCAAGTTTGGTCCGGGTAGGGTTTATAATAACTTGGGAATGGACCTGCTCCTAAAACTTTAACCTGGTCACTCATCTGGAAAATCTAGGTCAGATCCAGCATCCGAAGCAAGTTTGGTAGTTTCCATCCCTAGATGCATCATCCATGCAAGTTTGGTCAAGGTAGGGCTTATAGTTACTTGGGAATGGACCTGCTCCTAAAACTTTAACCTGGTCACTCATCTGGAAAATCTAGGTCAGATCCAGCATCCGAAGTCAGTGTGGCCATGTCCATCCCTAGATGCATCATCCATGCAAGTTTGGTCAAGGTAGGGCTTATAGTTACTTGGGAATGGACCTGCTCCTAAAACTTTAACCTGGTCACTCATCTGGAAAATATAGGTCAGATCCAGCATCCGAAGCAAGTTTGGTAGTGTCCATCCCTAGATGCATCATCCATGCAAGTTTGATCCAGGTAGGGCTTATAGTTACTAAGGAATGGACCTGCTCCTAAAACTTTAACCTGGTCACTCATCCAGAAAATCTAGGTCAGATCCAGCATCCGAAGCAAGTTTGGTAGTGTCCATCCCTAGATGCATCATCCACGCAAGTTTGGTCAAGGTAGGGCTTATAGTTACTTGGGAATGGACCTGCTCCTAAAACTTTAACCTAGTCACTCATCTGGAAAATCTAGGTCAGATCCAGCATCCGAAGCAAGTGTGGTAGTGTCCATCCCTAGATGCATCATCCATGCAAGTTTGGTCAAGGTAGGGCTTATAATAACTTGGGAATGGACCTGCTCCTAAAACTTTAACCTGGTCACTCATCTGGAAAATCTAGGTCAGATCCAGCATCCGAAGCAAGTTTAGTAGTGTCCATCCCTAGATGCATCATCCATGCAAGTTTGGTCAAGGTAGGGCTTATAGTTACTTGGGAATGGACCTGCTCCTAAAACTTTAACCTGGTCACTCATCCGGAAAATCTAGGTCAGATCCAGCATCCGAAGCAAGTGTGGTAGTGTCCATCCCTAGATGCATCATCCATGCAAGTTTGGTCAAGGTAGGGCTTATAGTTACTTGGGAATGGACCTGCTCCTAAAACTTTAACCTGGTCACTCATCCGGAAAATCTAGGTCAGATCCAGCATCCGAAGCAAGTGTGGTAGTGTCCATCCCTAGATGCATCATCAATGCAAGTTTGATCCAGGTAGGGCTTATAGTTACTAAGGAATGGACCTGCTCCTAAAACTTTAACCTGGTCACTCATCTGGAAAATCTAGGTCAGATCCAGCATCCGAAGCAAGTTTGGTAGTGTCCATCCCTAGATGCATCATCCATGCAAGTTTGGTCCAGGTAGGGCTTATAGTTACTTGGGAATGGGACTTGCTCCTAAAACTTTAACCTGGGACGCCGACGCTAACGCCGACGCCGACACCGACGCCGACGCCGACGCCGGGGGTATAGCATAAGCTCATCTCGACTTCGTCGAGGTGAGCTAATAAAGAAAAAATGATGAGTAGAATTTCTCTGGTGGGTTACTGTGTTTGTCTTCTAAAGGAAAATATGCTTTAAAATATATTTTATCTTCTAA